AAAAAATCATGTAACATATAGGTATTCTACACCTGTTATAATTAAAAAAAAAGAAATAAAAAATAATTAACCGATACCTTAGAGCCAACAATGACGTTAATTATTGATGCGGTGTGATCAACATAAAATTTCCGAACGCAACGCCAGTGTATGTTTATGACAATGGACGTCAAAATGTCAAACGTCAATTTAATAAAGTAAATACTAAATATAAACACCTTAAATAAATATATTCTTTAACTATGTTTTACATAAATTAATAATGTAACAGAGTTTAAAAATTAGGTAAAATTTCAGCAGCTCGCTACTTTTATATAGCAAACAAAAGAAAAATTTAAACAACAGATAAGTATAGAGACATATCACTAAGTAATCAATAAAAAAAAAAAATTGATAGTCACCTATATTTTAAGAGAAAAAAACGTAATTAAATCTTGTTATTTTCACTAAGAAAATCCGCCATTTTACTATTGTCAACATTTTCACATTTAAAAACCTTCTGTAAAACACTGTCTTGTCCACACTTAAAACATTCAAATTTCTTTACAAGAATTCATGATAACACAAAAAATTAAAAAGCACTGAACGATTTGATTCTGATTGGAATAAACATATATATAACATATTTGATTAATATAAAATGAGCGGGAAATACTTTTGGTTATAAATTTGACATACAATTAGGCATCAAAAATAATGATACAGCCAATATGCTAATATCGATTTCAAAACTCGATTACAAATGTTATAAAATGTTTTTGTTAAAAGCCCTTAATGTTACCATAGTGTATTATAAAGTGATTTAAATTAAATTCGTCTTTACGTAACTCAAGCTGATGGTTTTTTATGTGATTTTTATAAATCTATGATAATAATGAACTAAGTTACATTCAAAATGTGTCACAGATCCGACACAGAGCACCTCGACTCCATGTGGTCTTGTGGTCCCTACCCCTAGAGTGAACATAAAAAGGCGGAGCCAGAACCTCGCGTCGAGATCCGTAGCGGAGCGAAGGCCGAGTGGGTGAAGCGACACTCAGGGGCGACATAGCGAGTGTTCTGGCGAAGCACGTGGGAGAGTCAAACTTTACAATGAAGTAATAAATTTTGAATATTTCTTATATTTTTTTGTTGATTTTAAAAGCTTTGTAATTTTAATAAATGAAAATCAAAAATATAAGAAATATAAAAAAATATGACTTCATTATTAAGTTTGACTCTCCCACGTGCTTCGCCAGAACACTCGCTATGTCGCCCTCCGACGCGAGGTTCTGGCTCCGCCTTTTTATGTTCACTCTAGGGGTAGGGACCACAAGACCATATGGAGTCGGGGTCAACTGTGTTGGATCTGTGACTCATGATACCTAATTTTATGATAAATAAATGTAGAACTCAATTTATCTTAATTAATAACAAGTCCTGATTACATCTACAAGGCCTGCCATAAACAGAGATAAATTTTTTATTTATTTTAAAATTTTATTTAAACATTTATTTAATAATCGATATAAAATCATAATAATTAATCGATACTTAAATTAATTGATTATCTGTGGTATGTAGTATATATGTGAATCTGTATTCAATAGTATTATTGTTATTATTGAATTGTTTTTGTTATGATTTTAATTTTGAAAGTTAAACCTTAAATATTAAAAATTGTTGACAATGCCTGCTCGCCAAGTAAAAAATATGTTTGTGATTTGATTTTAAGTATACTGTATCTCTGTATCATCCAATAAAGTAAAAACGTGAGTTACCACTTGTATAAAATTAATGTTATTAGCGTATTAATGGCGGTTTTCTGTAGTGAAAATACCAAATTTTAATTATGTTTTTTCTCGAAAACTATAAGTGATTAGCCAATTCTGCTTATTGATTAATTTTTTAGGGATTATTACGTATATTTCTCTATCATTAAATTTTAATATTTCTTTGCTATATAAAAGTAGTGGGCTGCTGAAATTTTACCAAAAATTAAAAGTGTTCATTAGCGTAATCATTGAAAACTGCCGAAAAAAGAAAATAAAATAAATAAAAAATAAGAGTATATTTAACCGAGAAAGAAAAACATTGTGGGACTTACATATGAAATGAATCGATAATATCAACCAAATACTTTTGTTCGTTAGCGTGTAGGAAACACGCTAAGGAACAAAAGTAATAAAATGACAAACTGAAGAATTATACCCTAGTAGTAATAGTAGTCATTATAAAGGAATCATTTTTTTTTAAATTTAATTGTGATTTCTGTGGGATCTGGTCATAATAAAACACGTAATTCAGTAACTTATTCATATATTTTTTTGAAAATACTCGATACAATTTACAGTTTTGGACATAAGTGAGACTTAAAATAAAAGGTTCGTACAATACTGACCGAAGTTGTGTTACAATTTTGGAACAAACTGTTAGATTATGACTAAAAGAAAGTCTTTATATTAATTGAATAACCTAAGTAATTGGTGGAATTATGGTTGAGGTTTTATGGCAAACCTACCGTTAGGGTTTCATGCAATTTCGCAGGTAACATATACCTATAGTTAATGTTTAACTAACCTGAGAATGATATTATGTTTTACAAGTATTTTGGGAAGTGTAATAAAGAAAACACCAATCCCTTGTTGGAAATGTTACATTTCAAGTTTATTCGGTGGTAATACATTTGGGGAAAAACTAGTTTTATATTAACAAGTTTATTTTATTGAACAGTAGAATTAAGAGCTTGAATCGACAAAAATGTTAAATTCAAAGAAAAAAGAAATTAAATAGTTTTGAAATCAAGTAAAAGACACAAAGTTAATCGTACCATTTTTATTAGCACACTTGATTGACATTTATTAAGTTTTATTGGCAATTATTGATTTACAAGATCCAGTGTCAGATTTTCCGCATTTTTCCCGCCTTTATGTACCGCGATTTTTAATATTTGCAAAACTACAATTATTTTACAATGTCTGCGTTAGTGCAAGATAAAATATTAAAATGTTTTTATTTAAATGCACACGGGCAGCTGCGAATATCATTGAAATAATCTCGTAAATTTAAAAAAAAAGCTCATGTTTATCAGTGTCTATCAATTTCACATTTACAGCTGGTTTCTAATGTGTGTAATTTAAATTATATTTTTATTTTTAAGAAAGAAAGGGTAAAAAAAAACTCAGTAATAAGCGCTAGAAGAAATGCAGACATAAAAAAAAACTCGTGAAATAATAAAAAAACGGATTTAAATTGTGTTGAAACCAAATATGGCAAATATAGTAAATAATTCGATAAAACGTTATAACTCTTTTTTTTTTGATTTTCAAATCAAGCAAAGATCCTAAATTCATTTCGATATCGATAACAATAATTGATTATTATTATTTTAATATTACATAAATGCGATAATTGGTACATCGCATAAAATTACTTTAAATGCTTTGGAATAGTGATTTAAAATTTACTCCATTAAATATATACACTGTAAATTTCACTAACAATTGACAATAAATTAACTATTTTTACGGGTTAACTTACATATACATCGGTCTTACGTAAAATAAATTCAGTAGAAAATTGGCTTAAGCGGATGATTTTTAAACCAGTGAATATTTTATTATTGTATGAATGATTAAAATCTTTATTTACATTCATTTATAAGCGATATTTCTTTTATTAATGAAAACATTTAACATATTTAGTATGCGCCATAGGTATAGTTATATATATATTTTTAATTTATTTTACATTAAACCCTCTATCCTTTGCCTACCTTTGAAAGTATCAATTAATGTCGCTTGTCGCAACAAGTTGTTCTTAACACGATCATATCCAAACTTTGTTACCTATGCAACAGTGTCAACTAAGTTTTTTGTGCAAATTTTTTTAAACATTTTACACTATATGATATCTCGATAAGCGTAGCATATGGTGCGTCGTATAATTTATTTTATTTAATAACTATATTATATAATCAGTTGTTTAAGAATTATATTTTACATAACAATTTGCTAGTTTATTCTAGATACATTAAACAATGTTCGAGGACGCGGTTGTGGAATACATCGAACGCATTTTCGAATTTCGAACGTCCCGCCTTTTTCAACGTTAGTGCTTCTTGCGGCTATGTTTTTTTTGCGCTCACACCGGCCATTTGCAAATTTATCACATACACTCGTCCACGCTTATTCTTCAGTGAAATATTATTCATTCTTTGTTTATTTGATTTTCTTTCTAATTACGCAATGATTAAATAAGGATAAAACTTGATCAATAGGCAATAAGTTTTAGTTTAGTAATTACGATTATTCGTTCTTTTATACATATTTGATATTATTATGTACCCAAATATTCAATATTCGGGTATATTCACAATATTTCACTGAAAAATGTCTGGCGAGTCAACAAATACGTTCGCAACAATCATTTAAGTATCATATTACCTTGACCCAAATATTTTATTCAATATTTTTCTATACTTTATACCTTTAACAATTCCATAGAGTTCGCAAATATTTCAGATGTCAATCGAACTATGTTCGTACTTTTACTGTAACTGATGACTGAGGTATAGTGGCAGACCATTAAATAGGTTTTTTTTATTTCTTTTGGCACTCCACCAATCAACATTTAATATTTCTTCCTTTCTTTGTTAGCGTGTCACTATTTTAAAGTTGATAACCATCATGTCACAATAATTTCTCTTCACAGACATTCCTTTATATGAACAAAGCTATTTCCGTGTTGTATTATTAAATACGTTGGACACGGTAGCCCCTTTCCGTCGATTTCTACAGCTCTTAAAACAAATTTGATATATCTTTTAAATCTTACATTCATATAATATAATACTGTATACATGTTGTTAGAACAAATCCGCATCAATTTCTGTGGACTCGTTCAACATTTACTTTAGTATTTCGAATTCGAATCTGCCACATCCGCAACTGCAGTGTAACTGCCATATCCGCAATTGCAGTGTAACTGCCACGTGCGCAATTGCAGTGTAACTGCGTTTAGTTGTCGCAGGTCTTGCAGCATTGCTCTTTGTAGCGCTGCAGTGCGCACATGTTCATAGCGCGCACGTTCTCGCAGTATCTGGACGTGTCCCTGCAGACACCATCTGCAACAAGAACTTTGCTGCAGAGGTCTACACAATGTGTCCTTATAAACAGACCGCGCTTTGTGGTCAGTGTGAGACGAAGTATATTAAAAATAAACCTTAAAAGATAGTAAGGTAGTGGATGGTGGACCTGTGTCCTGCGCCAAAGGGCGTGGATCCGAACCCCATTACTGGAAAAACATTATGTGATAAAAAATAAAACACTTCCACTTCACGCTGGTCTTCTGTGAGGTCGTGGTTTCGAATCCCCCTAATGTAAAGGACAGGTTCCTCTATCTATTACTACGCTAATCGGAATAATACAAAAAAAAACAACTTACCTTTTAGAGGGCAAGCGATGATGCCGCAGAGTTTGGTGACGTTGGGGCGGCGCAGACCTTCACAGGCGGCCCCGGCGCTTCTCTCGCGCTTGCGTTTCGCCTTCCCAGCGCTGGGGCTGGGACGCCAAACGCAGCGCAGCACGCGGTGTTGACGCCCACTGCCACCACACTCGCCTATACACTATATTCAGGGAAATAACATAAATCCGGCTCTGGCATAGCTTCGCACGAGGAGACACGGTTTTTTATTAAACTAGCTGACCCGGCAAACGTTGTTTTGCCAAAAATATTTGGGGTGGACCACCCTGATCACTTAGGGGTATGAAAAATAGATTGAGATCGATTCTCAGACCCACTAAATATACATATAAAATATCATAAAAATCGATAAAAATCGATAGACTGTTTCGGAGGAGTATCGCAGCTAGCTAATATTATATTTAAGATAATTATTCCCAGTGCTAACTTGCACTGGAATTTTTGGTAATTTAATTGTTTATTTGATTAGGCTTGTTTCTTGAATGATACTTTATTACGTCTAACACCTCAGTCTGTCCCGTGACCATGAAAACTGTAAAGGGTTCGAAACGTCGGGAATTAAAATTAAAAATAAACGCTACAAATCCGTAAAGTTAGTTTCATTTATGATACTTTATTAGTTTATTTGTATGCTTATAGGACATCAAAGCGGAAGGCAAACTTAGAAAAGTACATTTTAATGAGAATCAGTGGACATTGGGAGGATGCGAGGGACGGGTAGAGGGTGGTAGAGGGGGAGCAATTCTGCCTGTTCTCTGCGACTGAGATGTAGTCGCAAGGGAAGAGGTGTTGGTATTACCTTTAGCCACCCTCTCTAACCCTCAGCAGCCAAAGTCAAAATTTCTTTATTCAATATAGGCTTATTTTAAGCTCTTATTGAACGTCAAAAACCACCGGTTCACTAAACTAGTCCATCCAGCGAAGAACCGGCAGGAGACTCTGCGGTCTTACCTTTTTTTCCGTTTTTTACTTATGTAAGTACACAAAAGTGTTTCAGTATTAAATTAGCAGCAGCCAGGGGACTTGCAAGTGCTGAGCAAGAGTCTAGGCAGTGGGGCCACGGGCATGCCGAATTGTGGTGTCCGTCCCACATTGCCTGTCTACAGCGAAAGTCTCTGTACTATACCTTGTAAGTAAAGAGCTCAGCGATAAGTTTGTAGAAATAACTATAGTCGTGATAGCTCAGTGTCTGGGTGCTCGCCTTTAATTCAATATACACGAACAACCCCAGTCCGATCTTCGGTGCCAGCACCAATGAAATTGTTAATTTTAAGTGCCGAATTATCACGTGATCAGCGCTGAAGGAACACCGTGAGGAAATAATAATAACAAAAAAATATTTTGTAGATATGTGAAGTCCGCCAATCCGCAGTGGGGCCGCGTGGTGGACTATGCCCTAATACCCAGAAGTGCAACATTAATATAGGTTGTTACTTTTTACATAGATATATAAACACCCAGACACTGGAAAAACACTATGTTCATCACTCAAAAGTTTTCCATTAGCGGGGTTCGGATCAAAAATAATTAAATTCTTATTTACGCCTTCTTTGTACGTTCGTATTTCCAAGGTCAACAAATGTATGTAGCTATACACCTGTAGACCGGAATATGCATGTACTTTCAAGGTAATTGTACTGCAAAGGTATGCAGCAGTAGACGGAATATACAGTGGTGAGTTACCTTGCTCCAAGGCCCAACGGCCCAGGCTGCTTTGCAGGGCGTTGACTCTCGCCTGGTCTTCTCCGGTCGTGTGCTGAACGAGCAGAAGTTATCGGGAAATGTGGTACCATTTTTGCTCGTGCATTCCACACGCCGGCGTACTACAGCTGTTTGGGGGGGAATTTCTAATTTTAAGCATACTTGACCATAATCTAGTTAAACTTGATCATATACTAACTGTACTAGTAGTAATTTTCGTATATTAAATATATAAGGGAGACATGGTAACAGTTCGAAGATGAATAAATAGAAAGATATTTTGAACGATGGATTAGTTGGTAAATGTAGTGCCTATTACGTGCGGTATTTAAAGTTCAATTGATTCGAAAATTTTGGTGTTCAGACTGGAAAAAAACTTCTTGTTATTATTATATTAAAAGGAAGAAGAGGAGGAGAGAAGAGACAAGATAAAACTATCATGTTCTGCGTAGATCTACACAAAAATTACTAATTAAAAAACTGACGGTAGCCCTGATTAACAATGACATCCAGACGTCCACTCCCTCTCTGTCCCGTGCCCATGAACGCTGTAAAGTGTTCGAAATGTCGGGTATTAAAACCAAAATAAACGCGATAAATCCGTTAACATAGTTTCATTTAGGACGACGAGGATTAAATTATTGTCTCGTGCGTAAAAATATTGAAAATCTCTCATCATCTATCTCTCCCTCCCTCTTTCTTTTCTTCTCGCTTGGTCCAGATAAAGTGACATTTGAGGATTAACGTATCGTATGTGACTCACCAGCACCGCTTGCCAAACATCTCGGCTGTGACCACGGGGTCGCGCGCCACGTGGCGCAGTCGACACCTGAACATTCAAGCAGCACCTTTGGCGCCTCCACCCCCCTCCTAAGACATTCGTCAGCCTCCACTGCCCTCGTTATGTTGTCCCTTTTGTGCTGCCATTAAAATATCACATTTTACATGCACTTAATATGAAACATTAAAAGTTGTAGAAATAATGACGAAAAGTATAGTTGTTAACCTATAACACAAAAAAGAATTCTAAACTTCTTCGGAAGACTTGGGGTCGGTCTCGCAGCGGCGAAAATTTTTTCGTCCATGTTTTGTACAAATTTCAAAGTCCCCAAAAGAGTGAATCAGCTGCTTAACATCAGAAAGTACGTGAAGGTAATATTTAATATTAGAAAGTACGTTTTCTACCCTTATCGATTGTTATTAAAGCATTGACCTTCCAATATTAACGGAAGAGATAAATTTACTATGTTAAAGATTTAATTACAAGGGTTTTATTTAAACAATATTCTTACCTGACAAATTGCCCCTCTAACTTGGTGCCCTTTCTGTCCACATAGGGCGCTGCATACAGACCAGTCGGTTGTCATCCAAGAATATTCTTTGGCATCGCTTGGAATCTCGGACCTGAAAGAAAAATACGATTATAATTTCCGAAAAACAAAACTCTCAATAGCAGATACTAAGTAAATGGATTCTGCGGGCGGTGGGTACGATTCCCAGACGGGACGAGTATATGTGCGATCCATAAATAACTGTTCCAGATCTGGCAGTTCATCCTCAAGGGGAGTTACTCTCCAATACCACTAGCATCATGATTCACATTTTGTGACGACCCGACAAAGACCACTCTGAACATATCCCCACGGATAAGACATGGGATACGGCTAGAAGAGAGAAGAAGATGAATTGTAAATATTTAATTTATAACTTACAATTTTTCTGTATGTTCGGTAGTATCTTCGACTAAACCATGTAGATCTTCTCTTACGCTCTCAACTATACCTTCTTCGATCGTATTCCTATTGTAATCTTCGTTAACGATTATTATGTCAGAATCGTCGTCTTCCGGGAACACTATCTGTTTGTCCTGAAGATTTACTATGTGCGTTTTGAGTGGTGTCACTCGGTTCTGGTACATCGCTATTGGATCGACCATCCTCTGTCCACGAGAGTTGCCGATTGTCTGGAAATTCCAAAACATCTGAACATATCAATTAAAATGTTTCTTAATCCCGAAATAAGAACAAATACGAAACACCCAACGGCACAAACTATACACTACGATGTAGAAATCCCAGGTTAATAATCCATTACATTGAGTACAGAGATTAGATTTAGTGGTCAAATTAACGGTCAAACCAGAGACGTTTTCGCTGCCCGTAAAGAAACGATATATGACCGTGTGGTTTTCACGAGAAACATTTTGAAATTTATGCGATAGGACGTTAAGATGAAACTGTTTTACACCTGCATTTAGTAATTTAAACATGCCATGAACCAAATTACCAATCAGTGTTAACAACGGCATCGGGCTCCCAAATTGAATTGGCATGCTCTATTCATGGAGCTTCTCACCTGTATTTGCATTATAATGTAATGCAGGCACGGTAACAATCTGGAGGCACTGCTCGATTTTGGCGGGAGCATCCGAGAAGAGACCGCGCTCTCCTTTGTTGATAAAGTCCAAAGCGGCGTGAACACAATTCAAGTTTTCAATCAAGAAATCACATATCGCATGTTTGCATTATTTAGAAACGTTAAGCTTTTGCTACTTCCACGTTGAAGTATAAAATCTTTTAGAGTCATAAGATTAATTCAAAATCTCAATACAATATTGCAGGAATCGATTATGATTATTATGTCACTTCCTTTCATTTTAAAATCGATATGGTTCGTACCTCTGTTTAAGTATAAGGTTAAGTACGACGTTTATTTTTTGCTTTATATAAAACGCCGAAATATTGTAAATTTTGTTAAGATGCTGTTTTGTGTTGTAGGTTAACACAAAAGTTGACGGATTTCACTCGATTCTCGACTGTTATCTCGAAAACGATATTTTTCGATATTGTTACTCGGTAAGACTAATAGTATGATAATTTAATATTGTGCCGACGTTTTTATTAACGAGCAAGCTAACATCCAAGAGCAATATTGCAAGTACATCCTATGTATATAATAGCTCGTTTAATGTTATAGCTAAGATGAATTAATACTCTGAATTTATTTCTAACTGAAATAAGAAATCATGAGTCTTTTGAAAACATATTTTAACTCGAAATACAATACAGTTCATAATTCATTTGATCAAAGAGTAGCTAACTTTTGTCTCAATTTCAATCGGTTGGATGTTTCTCAAGATTAAACTGCCCTAAGATCTCACGAACAACTGTCAAAAACGTAACCTTGGTTACTACTTGGCACTTGAAAATTTGTCATTACAAACGAGAACTTCGTTTTATCTCCATTAAAATTGCCTTCCACTAAAAGGCTTTTTGTATGGCACGTACATAATTATGAATAGGAGTTGATTCAGATGCCGTAATGATTAGCTATCTAAGATAATTTCGCTAAGTTCTGCAGTAAAATGGGCCCAATAAACTTTACGGTCGACTTTACTGCGGCAATAAAATGATATTAACCGCGGGAATAGTATCACTAGACAATCGAAATGAATGTCACCATAGGGAACACTTTGAAGCAGAACTAGATTTTTTGTAAAAGTGCGTTTAACATGTAACCAGTTTCTTTGAACGAAGTAATTTTGGTTTTCCTTTAACCTCTTGATTGCCATCGATTTCCGTATCAATTCTTCACGTTCATCTGACTTTTTCTTATTAATACATTCATATTAACATTGTAAAGCTTTGGTCTCCTATGCTTAATTTATCTCTGATTTGGCAACAATATATTTCGCGGTCTAAATGAGAGCTTGTCCCTTTATTGTATGCGTAAAGACTATTATAGATGCTGGAAATTATAAACAGGCAGAAGAAATTTTTTTTTTATATTAGGTTGATAACATAGCAAATTACAATCATATCTACGATTCCTTTAAAGTTGCTCTTTAAACTAACCAAGTGACATTTCCATACATAAACATTATTTAATCAAATTTTCTCATCTGAAGGAGAAAAATATCATCGATTTAGAAATCTTATTCAAATTGCCGTAAGTTGGGAATCATAACTTTTAATGATACCCGACATGGGAACGCTTCAAGCGGAAACTAACGCTCCTCGTCCGTCTAAAAAAGTTTATCCGCAGGCGACTACTTATTCCAAGAAAGTCGCCGTGATAGCTCAGTGTCCGGGCGCTCCACTTTAACTCAATTTACTCGAGCAACCTGAGTTCGATCCCCGTAGCCGGCACCTCAATTTACTCGGTTCATTCATGGTGCCGGCACCATTTTAATTTTAAGTGCTGACTTATCACGTGCTCAGCGATGAAGGAAAACATCGTGAGGAAACCTGCATATTTTAGAAGTAATAACAAAATAAATATATCGAATATATGTGAAGTCCTTCTATTCGCAGTGGGCAGCGTGGTAGACTATGGCCCAATACCCTCTGTACAGAGGAGGCCTTTGCTCAACGGTGGGACAATTACATAGGCTGTACTATTTAACACCATTCCGCTAAAATAAAGTATACGTTATTTTAGCGGAATGGTGTTTATTTTTGTTTGAGTGTTTGCGTCCTAATGGTTCCGCAGTTTGTCTATGATAACTTTTTCAACTTCAGCAGAAAAAGCTGTCTTCGTATTCATTTAAAAAGATCAAATGCTTCACGATTGATTTTTTGACGTCCTGTTTTTTGTGTCAGTGTCAACAATTATATGATTACTACATTTTAAATTTAGATATCGTATAGATACAGAAATGTGATAATTTCGATCGAGATAATTAAAGCTTCTTTGATTACAAAAAGGGTTTTCTATATATTATCCTCAATTAAAAAAATAATTACCTCGTTCTCGTCGTAGATATCTCTGGCTTGAGAATTGTAGCTTGGTGATTTAGTAGTGGTTCCCGAGCTGCCGTACAACGCGTCTCTAACTTTGTCTAATTTGCCTGCAAGAAAGTAACCATTACTAACACACTCTTGGTTACAGTTATATCAGTTCCAGTTATATCACCATTTATCATCAGGTGATCTATTGACCAAAAATAATCAAATCACGATGAAAGTTTTTTTTTATTTGAAGAGTTACCAAACGAGCAGACGGTTCACCTGATGGTGAGTGAATAGCGCCGCCCATGGACATCTGCTACACCCGAGGGTTACAGAGGCGTTGACAACCTTTTGAAAATTGGGCTCCGGCTACCTCACTCACCAGACGAAACGCGAAAGTATTTGTCATACTTCCATTTACGCCGGTCTTCTGTGAGGTCGTGGTACTTACCAGGACGGGCCTGCCCATTCGTGCAACAGCCGAGGCTGCTGCGTGGCCCTACCACCGTTCAATACCGTGTACTTATAAGTACACGGTCGAATTTAAGTGATATGTAAAATCTTTGGCGAAACCAACTGACAATAATTATTGAAACTAATCATTTCATACATGTGAAATTGTCGGTTTATGTTTTTTAATGGTACCACTGTGTCTGTTTATTAATTACGTGTAAATTATTATTTCTGGGCTCAGGTCTTCTTGTCTAGACTAGGAAACGAGGGCTAATTCGGATTCTCAGTATTTATAATTGGATTCCTCTCAGACTTGAAACAGCATTAGTAATTTCATTATTTTCATTTGCGCTGGGAAATTCTGTTATCGCGGCAATTAGCCCCTCTCTTGTATTTTCGAAACATATCCTGGGACAGGCTTAACGTTATTAAAAATAATTGTTACGTCGAAGGCAGGCATCGTATAAATAATTTCATTCAATTAAGGCTTGTTTCAAGTGATTTCAAAAGCCTGTACGAAGCGCTATCTCACACAGTAAAACACCGATGCAAAAGCAATAACAATGATGTATAATTAAAAATTTTGTATAATTATGTAGCAACAAAAAAAACACAAAAAAAAATTAAACAAGTCTAGTTTAGTGAACGGGTGGTAATTTTTTGAATTTTCGTGACGTGAGCCTATACAGAATAAAGAAATTTTATAATTATAAGAATAAATAAATAGTAACGATCATAAATTCATTCAATTTCATCTTTTGTAGTCATGCTTTGAGTTTAGAATAGCCGTCATAGCTAAGTGTCCAGGCGCTCGATTTTAATTTAATATAGTCGAGCAACCCGAGTTCAAACTGAGTTGACTGGTAAATATTCTTACTGTGGAAGGACGTTAAAATAATTTCAGTATTCGTAATTCTACAATTCTTCTAGTGGTGTGGCCACACAGCAGGTTATGCTGTTACAGGAATGGGCAGGAGCATCCGGGTACCACGACCTCACAGAAGACCGGCGTGACGTAGAAGGGTTAAATTTTACCGTTTCGTGTACTGCTGCCGACTCATCTGCAAGCCACCGGGCTCGTTTGACAACTTTTCACATAAATAATAATGCCGCATTTAAACAAATATTTGCCGTCAATATTTGTTTAAATGCGGTTTAGTCCGCGTTTAAGGACTACCTTACCTCTCTGTCTGTTCTTGTATGTCTTCTTTTGGTCTCCCGGACGTTGCTCGTGCGATTGATCATCGGACCTGCCACCTACCATCGCCCGATATCGACCATCCGTTCTGTGGGGGGAAAATATTGATAGTGCTTGCGCTATAAAAACTTTCGAGTTCACGAGAGTAGTTACTGATTAGAGAGGAAGTAAAAAATGATTTTTTTACTAACGTAAAACAAAATCGACTTCAAATGACCGCTCTGTATTCATTTTATAATTGATTTCCCTAAGTGTCTCCGGAACCCAAGATCCAATACCAATGAAATTAGTACAGAACCAAATGGGAAGCACCAGCTTTCAATTAAAAAAAGAATCATCAAAATCAGTTCGCACAGTTCTGAAATAACAAACATAAAAAAAAAGTCGAATTGAGAACCGCCTCTTTTTGAAGACGGCTAAAAAGTGGAAGATTGTGTTACTCGTAGAAATGTTGAATTGTAATTTAATTTTTACGTTTTAGATTATTCGACTGAAATATAAAAAAAGTTTGTTTCAAATTTATAAAATGAGTCAAAATCCATGACTGTTGTTTCAGTAACGTGTAATAAAATTTATTCAATTGGAAAAGGGTGTTTTTAATATGTACACTAATAAAATTATCGGATAACTGTATTACATATACTATACTACCGTTTTGTGTTTCCACATCATTCATTTACTGGATAACAAGTTTTCTGGAATTATGCTTAGGGTATGTCTACCTACCTAGACCTACCTAGTTGTGAGCTTAATCTTACCTGTCAGAGAGCGGGGAGGACGGATCGTCCAGGACCTTGTGCCTCTCGATCTCTTCGCTGGACGGGAATTCCCCAGGGCGGGGTTTCACAACCAGGGTCAGATTGGCACTGGATCTGCCAGCGACGCACGTGTAGACGCCATGATCGCGGAGTGACAGGGAAGTGATAAGAAGAGCGCCCTAGACCAAACATTACACGCGTGATAAAACAGATGTACTTGGAATGATCGGGGATAACCGTTTCTAATCACACATTTAGCCTCTGTCTAAAAAAACGTGGGTTTAAGACAAGGAGCATGCTGTAGTAGTACTGTATAATGATAGATTAAGACTTCGACGACATTGAAGAGTCGCGGGCAACCAATCAGATGGCAGAGTGTGGATGAGTGTCATTCGTTGTGGCATTCCATGGAGGAGAACTTAACTGTGGTAGGGCCACGCAACACTGCCCACTGATGCACGAATCGGCAGGTCCGTTCAGGCTAGTACTCTCGGCGTAAAGTAGAAGTGTTACAGTTCTGCGTTTCGTCTGGTGAGTTAGGTAGCCGGGGCCCATTTTATTTAAAGTTGGCAGCGTGTTTGCAACCCTACGGGTGTTGCAAATGTCCATAGGCTGCGGTTATCACTTAATATAAGATGAACCACTAGCTCGTTTTCCACTTCCTCACATAAAAAAAGTAGTATAAAACTTAATTAGTTTTTTTTAATGCTGTGTGTGGTTTAGAATAGAATTCGAATAGCTGTTCAATTTACCTTCTTGGAAATCTTGTACTTCTTCGACTTCGCGATGATTTGGTGATCTTTCGCCCACTGTATCTTGGTCCTGTTGTATCCTTTGACGGGGCACTTGATTTTAACTTGGGTCCCGTAGAAAATCGTCGCCGATCCCCCAACTTTCACGGTAACCTAAGAAGAATGATGTTTATTAATATAGATAACGCTTGTCCATACGTGTGATATAGAATGAGATGATATGATGTATGATGTATAGAGAGTATGGAATTGCAATCTAATTACATCATTTGGTGTAATTTGAGTGCTTTAATTTGGGTACAATAGTGTCATATCATTGCCTAAGAATCCTTCTCTGTGCAGAGGTTATTAGTGCATAGTCCACCACTGGACACTACTGCGGATTGGCGGACATCATATACCTTCGAAATGTTAATTTGTTATTATTTCGAAAATAGTTTCCTCACGATATTTTCCCACACCACTGAGCACGTGATAAGTTAGCACTTAACCTAACAATTTTATTGGTGCCGGAACTCAGGTTGCTGGAGTATATTGTATCGAAAGCGAGCGCCCGGAAAATGAGTTACGGCTTTTATTTACTTTCCTTTATTTTTATATAAAAAAAATTGGAAGAAATATACTTTGTTTTACTTACTTACTTTTCATAAATCCTGTACTAATTGGATACTATAATAAATCATTTATTTAACCTATAGCACTAATGTGAAGATATTGGAATTGCTGAGAGAAACTCGTAATTCTTCCTAAGCTGCTTAAGCGACTCTGGTTTATTATTGCGAAAGGGTCATTAAGTTGGACGGGACACGTGTACGAGTATATCGACTAATACGTGTTTATGGACTGCTTAGTCTGGATTAAATGTGCAATACTTTGTTCATTGTGAAACACTTTACGCATTTATTTGATATTCTCTTCTACAATTTAACCTCTAGTGCGACAGCCACACATTAGCTTCTGTTGCAGGAATGGGCAGGCTGATTTGAGGTAGTGACCACGACCTCACAGAAGACCAGCGTGGAGTGAAAGTATTATACTTCAGTTTCATCTGATGGGTGAGGTAGCCCCGCACACTTTTTTTAAAGATTGTAAATCCATAGGCGGCGGTAATCACTTAATATCAAGTGAATCGCTCTTGCCCAATTGGCGTAGTGGCTAGTGACCCACTCCCTTGCGAAAAGGGGTGTGGTTCCGATCTCCACTACTGGAAAAATATTCTGCGTTGAAGTTTTTCAAGGGTCTGGGTGTTTATATAACTATAATATGTATTTATTTACAAAAGAAAAATTATGTTTAACTTTATTTATCAGTTATCTAGTACCAATAATACAAGCTTTGCTTAGTTTGGGACTAGATAATTGTGTAAAAATATTTCCTGAAATATTTATTTGTTTATTGTCTTTGTATGAAGTCTTTTTCTAATCAACGACCGCTTAACTTACCTTCTTTTTCTTTGGATCGTGTTGGATATACGACGAGTTGGCCAACGATATCTCGGGGGATGACGTGTCGAGCAGACAGGGCCTGCTGTTGCAGGATTTGGTAGAGGCCGGCTTCGGACTGTTGCAGAGGGATGGCGGCCTCTCGACCACGTGTGATTGCGCCATGATTTGCTTGCATTCCACCTGGTGTTCAAATCGTTATCACTACATAGTATAAAACAAAGTCCTCCCGCTGTCTGTCTGTCCCTACGTACGCTTAGATCTTTAAAACTACGCAACGGATCTTGATGTGGTTTTTTTTACTAGATAGAGTGATTCAAGAGGAAGGTTGATATGAATAATACATTGCACCCATGCGAAGCCGGAGCGGGTCGGTAGTCCTTACTATATTAATATTATAAACGCGAAAATTTATATGTATGGATGTTTGTTACTCTTTCAGGGAAAAAGTACTGAATGGATTTTAATTAAACTTTACAATAATATAGCTTATACATCAGAATAACACATAGGCTATAATTTATAAAGATATTGAGTGATTTGGCTAAGATATAACGATAAGTGTAAAGTAGGTAAGTATGAAAAAAATCTGCCATCTGCGAGCTATTCTGGTGGATAATAAAGAAGCTCATTGTTAATTTCTTCGCTAGAAAAAACTTTAATCTCGCGGGTGAAGTCGCAGTTACCAGCTAGTGTCTTATATATATGCAAACTAGCGTCTCGCCCCGGCTTCGCACGGGTGGTAATTGTGAGTTATAATATATTTTTACCGTGGTGTGTGCAATAAAGATTATTTATTAAATAATTCGTTTGATTTATCTTGTATGGTTTAGCCAGCAATTGCAAAGTAAGCGCACATGAGTATATTTATTACGTATGTTGTTATAAGTATATCTTGGCTTGTCTCTACTATAATATTTGCAGGTATACCACATATACACCTTGCTCATGAATCAATCCATCTCTTGCTGATACTATGTAAAGTTAACCGTATTTATAATTATTATAATTAATTTTGATTTTTAGAGCTAGTCTTTTCTCATGGCAACTCACAGAAGACCGGCTTGAAGTGGAAGTGTTATACTTCCGCGTTTCGTCTGGTGAGTGAGGTAGCGGGCCCATTTTATTATGAGCCCATGCATCTACAACGCGACGGGTGTTTCAAAGGTCAATGGGCAGTGGTGGGTGAGGACTGCCAGCTCACTTGCCACCTGCTCATATAAAAAAAATTAGGATGAAATATAAATTTGTATTTTTGCAGATAAATGAACCTAGGTTTTTCGGTAACATGCCCAGAGTATGATGTTGTTCAGTAATCGTGTGTATAGCGTAGTGGGTAGTGTACCTGCCTCCAGTGTCAGAGGGTGTCGGTTCGATCCCCGCTACTGGAAAATCATTGTGTGATGAACATAGCGTTTTTCAGTGTTCATATATGTATAATATTCATTTATTTACAAAAGAAAAGAATGTTTTAGTATGTTTATCAGTTATCTAGTACCCATAGTACAGGCGTTGCTTAGTTTGGGACTAGAGAAAGTTGTGTAAAAATGTGTCCTAAAATATTTATTTATTATTATTTATTAATACATCACCTCTCTCTGCTTCACGCCGCCGCCGCAAGTCTTGGAGCATTTGGACCAGTCACCAGTGTGCCACCTAACGGGACAGTCCAGCACGTTGCAGTACTGTCTATCTGGCGGCGGTGGTTGGGGGCACATGCTGTTCGGCACCACCACGGTGTTGGTGCCGCCGCGCGTCACCTATTTGTTTAATAAGTAGACGTGTTGTAGGCTTTTCTATTCTGTTAAGTACCTAAGTAACGTGATTGTGTATATTGGCTAGGAGTTTGTGGAGGACAGAAGAGGCCTATAAGACAAGAATTTTGTTAGATAGGTCTACGAACAGTTTTGTTGTATACAGCGTTCTGTTTAACGCGAACTTACTTCGTGGATACACGACACCTCTCTCGTCTGTATTCCGATGCCGCAGGACTTGGTGCATTGCGAAAACTCCGTGTAGTTCCATCTGTTGAAGAAATTTGTGTGATATAATTTTACAAGTTTTAACAATTTACGACGCGGTGACGTCGTCGCCAAGCTATTGGCTTCGGCGCTGGGGTCATGGGTTATATTCCCACACGGGGCAAGTTTTTGTGTGACCCACAGATAATTGTTGCAGATTTGCGTTTGTGGCAAGAAGGCTGCCGGCCGTAAAAAACATAGCCCAAACAGCTTACAACATGATTAAAAACTTGTGCCGACCCCACCTAAGTGGGATAAGGGCAGGGGGATGATGAAGATGATATTGTCAATTTATAAGGTAATTTAAAACAAACTGAATATAATATCTTAAATGTTTGCTTCGAAACATTGTTCAGTTTTAATGGTAAAGTAAAGTATCAGCCTATACATGTCCCACTGCTGGGCAAAGGCCTCCTCTGTACAGAGGATATCAGGGCATAGTCCACCATGCGGCCTCACTGCGGATTGGCGGACTTCACACATCTTCGAAATATTTTTTTTTGTTATTACTTCGAAAATATGCAGGTTTCCTTACGATGTTTTACGTCATAATTCGGCACTTAAAATTAATAATTTATCTGGTGCCCGCACCGGGGATCGAACTGGGGTTGCTAGAGTTTATTGAATTAAAGGCGAGAGTCCGGACACTGAGCTATCACGGCTCAGTTTTAATGGATCATGTGTAAAATGTGTACTCCGTTTGTTCAACCCCTTCCCTTAGTAATATGGCATCACACAATATTCAAACATTAAATATTTAATGGTATGGTCATAATCATAATGGTAAGTCATAAATGTTGCGAAGTTGCTGTGAATAATGAATAAGAGAGTCAAGCTTAAGTCAGAACTGGCACCGTTTGTAATTCGTAAATTTCACAATAATAACTGTTGCTTAATATAATAAAGCATGTAAGCTAATCTATAGTCTTAGTTATCCATAAGGGGAGTAGCGGGTTATTCCCACTACAAGTGTCTATGACGACTTACTGGGAAAACTCGGCAAGAAATTGTATCAAAGATTATGGAAATAAATGAATTTTTATTTATTTATTGCTTTACATGTTAGTACCTAGTGCCTACATTGAAGATGTTAAACAAGTGAGTTTTCAAGAGCTGTGGTAGGGCCACGCAGCCTTTGCTGTTGCACGAATGGGCATCATCCGGAGAAGTGCCACGAGGTCACGGACGGCGTGAAGACGGAGTGTTAGATTTTTGCGTTTCGTCAGGTGAGTAGGGTAACCAGGGCTCACTTTATTCAATGGTGTTGCTTAACGTTAGATCACATTTAGTAAAGTAAAGTAACAGCCAATACATGTCCCACTGCTAGGCAAAGGCCTCCTCTATACAGAGGGTATCAGAGCATAGTCCACCACGCGGCCCCACTGAGGATTGGCGGACTTCACATATTTTCGAAATTTTTTTTTGTTATTATTTCGAAAATATGCAGGTTTCCTCACGATGTTTTCCTTCACCGCGGAGCACGTGATCAGTCAGCACTTAAAGTTAAAAACTTCATTGGTGCCGGCACCGGGGATCGAACTCAGGTTGCTCGAGTATATTGAATTAAAGCCGAGCGCCCGGACAATGAGCTATCACGGCTCGATCACTTTTAACAGTTATTAATTAACAGCAGACGAACCACCAGTTCGCTTGCAACCTTCCCACATAAAAAAAGGGAAAGCGCCTAGCAATCTCAGCTCAAGCCTCAATGCCTCGTGGGAAAGGTTGACAAAAACAGCCACGTTTCCACAATCCTGGACAGTTATAAATACACGGTTTATTACTGTACATTTCTCAGTTTAACCGAGCTTAGCTACAGTGAGTAAAAAAAACTAAATTTAAGACAAAAAAATAAAGTCCAATATTCAAAAGGTTGTCAAAGCATCTGTAACCCTCGGGTGTAGCAGATGTCCATGGGAGGCAGTATTCACTTAACATCGGGTGAACCGCCTGCACGCTTGGCAACTTTTCACATAAAAAAACTGAATAATTCTTGGTGCACCGAGATTCAAATCGGTGATTGGAGACAATGTAACCATACATATTGTATAAACATTTACAAATAGTAGTCGGTGAACTCGTTAACAGCAAATTAGATAAGAAATAAATCAATTAGATAAGAAATAAATCAATTAGATAACAGTAAATTAGCACAATAATAATGTCATCTAAGGTAGTTTTTAAAAGGTTTCTTTTGAGATAGACTATGTTAGTTCCACAAACCTGGGAGGGCACGGGTGGTCGTTACATGTCCTCACCCTGTTCTCGGGTTTCGTCAAAGGGTCGCACATGTATGGAGATGCGTTCTTACCGTCCTCATCTCGAACGCATTGGATGATCAGCTCCTGTTAAAAGAAACAAATTAAGATCGCGGAATAAATCACCAGTGAAATTTACGGTGGTAGGGCCACGCAGCAGCCTCGGCTGTTGACGAATAGGCAGGCTCGTCCGGGTAAGTGCCACGACCTCACAGAAGACCGGCGTAAAGTGGAAGTATAATACCTTCGCGTTTCGTCTGGTGAGTGAGGTGGCCGGAGCCCAATTTTCAAAAGGTTGTCAACGCATCTGGAACCCTCGGGTGTAGCAGATATCCCTGGGCGGCGGTAATCACTTAATGTCAGGTGAACCGTCTCCTCGTTTTTTTCGAATTTTGAAATCAAGTGTTGGCGCTGGCAACACTGTATACCGTATATGACGTTATCTACTTGAGCCAAGGGACACATGGTCGCATGGAGGAGGGGTTACTTGGATTTCGGCTGCGTTCTCGGACGGTGATGTAGCCACTAGTGCTGCTTGTCGTTAATATTCAAGTTCAGTAGTAATAGTTGTTAATATTCAAGTTCAGTAATAGTTAAAATATTAGAATGTAGGTAAAAACGTTAGAACTCTTATACAAGGTATACGAGAAACAAGCAATAAAGTTCATTGAGCATATGAAAGACAGTGAATTATGCACTGAAGCGAAATAGAGTGGAACAAATCACCAATGAAAATACAAAGAAATGAAGGTATATATATATATATATATATATATAGAAACACAAGGAATTCAGTTCGCTGAGCATATGGAAAACAGTGAATTATGCACTTAAATGTAATGGAAATAGGATATTAGTTTCAGCACTATATTCCAACAAAGCCAATACAATCATGGACGTACATCTCGGCTTAGTAGCTGACGGCTGGTGTGTTTCTTTCCATTATTGAACCTTAAGAAACCTTCGGTAAAATATAATCTGTCATGTACTTACTATATATTATACAGCGTGTCGTTACCATCGCGACAATAAATGAACACGCATATAGGGGATAAGTTTTTAAAGTTGTATTAAACATTTAAATTCTTTAAACATCAATATTTACAGAGTTATTAAATTTTCCAAAACAAAGAATTTTAGAACACCCTTACCTATAAAAGCGTAACGTAAAGTTCATTTGTAAAGGTCACAAAGCATATGAATGGATTGAATGAATTTAAAAGAGACAAAACATACTGTTAGAAGGAGAAGCTTGTAATGCGACGCTGTGGCGCGAGTTGTATAGGATGATACAAATTTTGTTTCTTTTTTACTTAATTAGTTTGTTTGAAAAATATTTTTTTTAATTATGGATTTTGTTTAACGTTAATATTTTTTCATGATTATTGGCACGTAGCGTTAGACGTGTGTTCATTTATTGTCGCGATGGTAACGTCACGCTGTATATTAATATTATAAACGCGAAATATTGTATTTATGGATGTATGTTTGTTACAGTTTCACACAAAAACTACTAAATAGATTTTAATGAAACTTTACCATTATATAACTTATACATCAGAATAACACATAGGCTATAATTAATAAAGATATTATGAGAATTATCCAAAACATAACAATAAGTGTCAAGTAAGTAGGAAAAATTCAGCCGCCTGCGAGCTATTCTGGTGTACCTATAATAAAAAACTAATTATTAATTCCCTTTGACCGCTCAGGCGAAGTCGCGTTTAAAAGTTTGTGTACGGTAAAATTTAAGTTCTGCAAAAGGACGGCCTTAGTTTAACGTAGACATTTCTTGCCTGATTACGATGACGATAGGTGTTTCTACTCAGATAAGGTGTGACAACTTGTTTCCTATAATTTTGTCTTCTTTTATTGTAACGCATAATATTATCAACGTATTAAAAACTATATGAAGTTGGTGACGACTAGTCTAAATATGTAAAAAATATAATGGTTGTGATAACAAAAATTTTCTATTAATTCCCCATCACTGCAGTACATTACATGTGGACAGACCTGCCTGACCAGACATGCCTGTTATAAAATAATTCAAAGAAAAGTCCAATTACTAGCTTTGCATACCTGAACACCGCTTAGACAAGACGCACTGCAACTTGTATATCCTTTCTCCTTCCACGAGTAGGACTTTCCAGGTGACCCCGGTGCCACTCGAATGTTGCTTGAGGTCCCGAATACTAATGATCTGTTTAAACGGGTAAACGGTTTGATAAACTACTTTATATCCACCTACATACTTAACTATATCGGTAAAATGCATATTTACATAACGAAAAAATAATATTTTTATTTTATCGTAGAGCCATAGATTCTACTGACGCGTATGATTGGGCTGAACCGAGGAAATCCCACCACACCGCAAAAGACGGTGCATTGTAGAAGCACTTATGGCTTATCGTTTTATTGGATGGGTGAAATAACAAAGATACAGGCTATAGTAGACACCTATCAACAGAACCACTTGCACATTTGCCACCCTGTTCCACAGGAATCCATATTATTAGCCGGAATGTAAGGACAGACATGCACGTAAAAAAGTAAACTTTTTTTTTTTGGGCTGGATGAGCCACTGTTGGCCTTAGGGGCCTTTACAGTTCCAACGGGCTTGAGGTGGCCTGGCGCGCGAGACGCCTAGCCTGAACCTCGGCGTATTATTATTACGGAAGTAAACTTATTTTGGCTTTGCTTTTATAGCCGTGATAAGTCATACTAAACATTCATAGCTTGACAGCACAGTGTTCGGGTCCCAGTTAAGTTTTATTTAAGTAGAACAAGTTCAAAATCCGGTGTCAGCTGCGAAAAATTGTCGCAGGTGACACTGCAATTTTAAGTACTGATTTATGACCTGTCAAGGACGCGCTGTGTACTATAGTCTAACAACCTCTAAAGATGAGGTCTTTAATAGCAGCGAGACATACATAGAGTTTTATAAATATTTTTTCTTTTACAATGTACTAAAGTTGTAAGGAAAATGACTCTTCATCCATAGCTTCGAAAAGAGGGCTTATAAATAAAATACGTTTAAAGTTTAAAATCAAACTGACGATATAAAATTTTCAATTTAGGCCAATCATACAGCGCGAAGGCGTGGCGCATTCATAGTTATTTACGGAATCCAAACGTTAAACATCGATAACGCTTATCTCAACGCTATCGTAAGCTAATAACTTTATCGGAGGCATTCAGTTCGAGTTTACTCGTACACGTAATACGGTTGCATTAATGCGTATTTTAACGAGATGTCCTTAGACGTGAATCTCAGTGAACCGGACGAGTTCAACTGCGTCGAGCTGCATAGTTGCATTGACAATGTGGCGCGAATGAAGAACATTGATGACTTCGCATACCACGTGGAGTTCGCTTGCGGCAAAAGTGAAAACTTCGTTGCGAATGTGTTCAGGGTCACGATTACTGATGCCAACGACAGTGAACACAAAGTGAGCGTGATAGTCAAGACTCTAGTGAATACTACGCGACAGGAGTTGTTCCAAGAGCTGCATAAAAGGGAAGTGAGAGCATACGCGGACGTAATACCGAAGTTCCAAAGTGTACAAATGAAGTTGGCGGCAGAGGACAGATTGGCGCTTCCGGTATGCATTTTATCTTATACGCAAAAAGGCAATGAAGTGTTGATATTGGAGGACTTACTGTTAGACGGTTACGAGTACGATACCAAATTGTTCAAGCTCAAAAATATGGATAGCAGACAAGTGGGCACAATATTATCCGAATTGGCAAAATTTCACGCTTTGTCCGTTGTTCTCGAAAGGGCCGACGAGGAAAATTTCTCAACATTGAAGGATGAATTCGAAGACGTTCTCTTTCAAGAGTCATTCCTCAACAAAAGCAAACTTAGAGACTGTTATTCTGAATCCTACGAAGCGTCGGTTAATTTGGTAATTGATTTGGACGCGAAGAATAAATTGCTGAACGCAAGAACAAAAATGTTAGACCTTTTAAGGAATTTCACCCGCCCACGAAAATTTAATGTTCTCTGCCACGGAGATTGCTGGGTAAACAATTTCATGTTCAAACGAAGGGTAAGATTTTTCTGTATTTTCGATACAAATTTTAGTCTTTGAAAAGCAATCAACTTAAGGATTTTTTTTTAATAATTATGCTGGGTAATTTTACTATGTAAAAGCTATTAAACGATTTATTGTTTTGGAATTATGTATTCAGTGATTTGAATTTAAGTCTGGATATCTTAAATACGGCTCGAGCTGCATATCTCATTGGAATAGATCAGACGAGTGCTATTTAATTTCAAACATCCATTATGTTTAAAGGAATCATTAAGTATATTGAGATTTTTTGTTTCAGGGGAACTTAATGGACACTAAAATATGCTTTTTGGACTTTCAAGCAATGCGTTACTCAAGTCCGGCTACTGACATTATTTATTTTTTATATCTATGTACCGATTCCGTGTTCAGATCAAAGTACATGGAAGATGTTTTACACGTTTACTACGACAGTTTCGAGTCATTTCTGAAATTATTCGAAATAGATTCAAACACAATCTATTCCAGGGATTTATTCCTGGATGATATCAAAGAAATCATGCCGTTTGGATTTTTAATTGCCCTGGTTGAGTTAAGAATAGTCACCGCAACTAATGAAGATAAAAACATCGATGAAACATCGTTAGATTCTGAATCAAGCTCTTGCGCATTAGACGATAAAATGTTTCTAGGAATTAGAGTGAACGATGCTGTCAGTGAATCAATAGAAAACGGTGTCTTAAACAGGATATGTGATCTATTATAAAGTAATTAATGATTTTAATTTTAAAAGAATTTACTTAGTTTAAGCTAAAATTGATGAGAAATAAAACTTAATTGAAAAATATAAAGTCTATACATTATTTTAATTGAAACTGATCGACTGTGATAAGACACAGTACTGAATCACAGAACAGGAACTCACAGAATACCAGCGTAAAGAGGAAGAATTACACTTTCTCGTTTCTTCTGGTGAGTAAGACAATGGAGAGACAATGGAGAGACAATGGATCTAATTCCTCATGTGTCATAGGTGTGTATGGGCGGCGGTAATCACATCAAGTGAACCATTTATTTGACAATTTTTTGCATTAAAAATATCTTTTTGCAATAGCTTTATACTAAATGGCCAGTTCATCTGATCTCAATTATTGGTCTTTAAAATATATCATATCAATAACATCAAAAAACATTTTAAGCCCTGTCTTTATATTTAACTTACCTATCTCCACCTCCATATGAGGGAATGCTCGAGTCGCCGAATGAAGTGCCGTAGGCCATTGAACATGGCTCCATCACACATCTTTCCGTTTCCTCCGTCGGCTTCGGACCCATGCATTTACTGTCTGGCAATTTAGCTATAGTTCTGCTGAATTCTAAAAAAATCTTGCAATGGACCTCCTTCTTTCTCCATCCTTCGCCGCACGTAGCACTGCATGGGCCCCAGTCGTCGTCTTTGATATAACTAAAATAACGAACATGCATTCAATACGTTTTAAGGAAGAATGGATTGGTGTTGCTAACTTACGAAGGAACTCTATTAAAAAACATTTCATGAAAGCGTTGGAAAACGTTAATTGGAACGATTTAAAACATAACGGACGGAAGGTTGAATTCTATTCGATTGTCATAGCACGCAACGCAGCAGTCTAAACAACTCTATAGATTCACTCATGATTAACACATGCGGGTGCTCGGGATGTCATGGGTCGGGTCTTGGGTCTATTGGATATTGCACCTCGTCAGTTCTGGCTGGTTTATGTAGAAGTATATGCACCAGTGTGTCTGTATGTTACTTATCACCAATAAAATAAGAGAAACATCTGTCTGATAACAGATTTTCAACAACTTCTGTGTTAGGGAAACTCTTCGTGAGTCAAACGTTTGGAAAAATGAGGCCATGTACTGTTGGTGCCAGAAATGTTCAGTTTTGTATCGGAAAAGTGTAACCAAGCGAAGAGACAAATAAATAACAGAAAATGTATAGTAAGTGAGAAAAGAGTGCAAGGAAATTCAAATCTTACAGTGCAGTGCATACATACACGTATAGTAGAAATAAGACGAGTTGTTGGATTGTAAAGTATTAGAAAGCAGTGATCGATGAAAGGCAAATGATTTGAAAGTTAACTATGACAAATTTAGATATATAGTGCACACAAATTAGAGGTGTACTATTACATTAAAAATTGGTGTTATTTTTAGATGTAAAACTCTGTAAAGTGACTACGTTCTACGTTGATGTTGCATATTTGTGGGTCGCGTAAAGTAATGTGTTGTGTATTATATGTTATCGCATCGCATAGACGAAAAGATTATTTAAAAAGTGTTTCTGTAACAATCTAGTATTAACGAAAGACACTTTTTGGCTAATTCTAAGAAAAAAGAGCCGGTAGGCGTAAGTGTAAAATGGAAGGGTATTGATCATTCATCTTTATAAAATGTGTGATGTTATTCTGAATTCAAAAGTGAAACCTTTAGAACTTGTAGCTTAGGTACAATACCTTACATACAACCAGCCACACGCAAAGAATATTTTGTAATTGCTGAAAGAAACAACAACAAAATACTCTTAGCTCTTTACAAACGGGAATAGGTTGGCACAGAATAAATACATGTTATTTCTCGTATCCCGAGGAAGGTATCGCAACCCATGCAGTAAAAATGCAAACAGAAATCTTTAAAAAGTCTTAATCGCAACTATAATTTTACGAGAAACGGATCTTTTCACCTAAGTTGCATCTAAACGACTCATGATTGTCAATTACCAAATATCTAAATTAAATTTTAAAGCGATCAAATGCCAAACGGTAGATGTCAAGGCAATTATTATAACATAGTGTAAATATTTTTTATATTACAAGCTCTTCACAAGGTATCTAGAGATCATTAAAAGTTTCCTCTTCGACTACACTCTCTGTTAACGCTACGCAGACTTAATTAGTAATACGTGCTCTACAAACTTACGTGGCTTCTACAGGCACGTCGGGTTCCCCAATCAGCCGTTCAGCTTTGGCCTGAGGTGGTGGGTACGGCTGAATCAGTGGCTGCGTATGGTATACTACGCCTGGTAGCAAATCTTCAATGTCGTCCTAAAAGTAAGCAATTTCAAGAGATGTGTTTCAATTAAAATGGCTTTGTAATCATATTTTAAATTGTTAAATATTTTGATTCATAAGCATGATAACAAAAGCCCGAAATCGTATTGACTATGCTGAGGACCAATATGTGTGGAAATATTCAATATACTTTTGTGTCTCTAAAACATTTAATATTCGATCCTTGAGTTTTTATCGTTTCGTGAAAGTTTTGTTAAGTTGTAACTAAGCCTTTCATTGTTGGACTAATAAATTAAACATAATAAAACACCATACACCATACATGACTATATATGGTATGTAAAAATGTATGCATGGTTTACATTTTTAACTTGCTTTTAACACTTATTTATATTTCGGATTTAATATTTATCATCCAGTTCCCTCTTCTTCATGACCGATAATTATGTAACCGTTTTCAAGGCTAGTATATTAGCTTTTTTAACTATTTCATTTAACGTCAACGGTACCTCATTACTTCGCTTTTTGTTTATTTACCGTCGACGGTACCTCATTACTTACCATCACGGGGGTTGGTACAGAACAAGCAAGTCCGTCTTACATAGACTAACAACCAATCTAACCACAATTCTGGTTAATTTTACAGAAAGTATATCAACACTGGAATAGAACGTATCGGTACCTCTGACTCATCAGCTTCCCTGAACGCTGGGCAACTGATGCCAGTAGAGCATGGCCTAGATATCTCTGGTCTCGTGGTTGGGTCGCATCCTCCACCGGCGGGTGTGCATTCGACCCCGCGAACTTGCACGCCTTCGCCACACGAAACTGAGCACTGTAACAGATTTTAGATTTCAAAAAACGTTCATTCTCATTCAACTGTGGTAGGACCATGCAATAGCGTTCACTGTTTCACGAATGGGCAGGTCCGTCCTGGTAAGTACCACGACCTCACAGAGGACCGGCGTAAAGTAGAAGCGTTACACTTCTGCGTTTCGTCCGTTGAGTGAGGTAGCCGCCCGCTTACTTAAAGGTGTCAACGCAGTTGCAACCCTACGGGTGTTGCAAATTTCCATGGGCCGTGGTTATCACTTAACGTCAAGTGACCCGCCAGCTTGCGACTTTGCCACTTTCTCACATAAAGCTTTGATTGAGTTATAGGTTATGACTATCGTAGATACGCTAAAAATATCAGCGGTATCCAAACATAGTTCATTTCTAATCTGTCATTTATAAAAACAAATATTAAGTTTAGGAAAAAGTATGGAAATTAGCCTAAAATAAAAAGGACGTATCGTGTAGGCGAACTAGATTTAATAAAACATGTAGTATAGCAATGATTTTAATGTACAATGGAAAAAAGTTTTATTGTAGCCTCAGGTACCTGGATGTACCATCCCCTGTAAAATTACCTAAAGAAATTTATGAAATTGAGCGATTACTTGATTTGTTCAAATATTTAGATTTCGAGGACGAATTCTAGCGTCGATATTAAAATATTTTTTATTAACAAGGACACCATTGTTACGTAGTACATTATTTTATTAAAATATTAGTTGTTTATGTGTGGCCATATCTAAATCTATACTTATACTCGTATTATATAAATCGCAAAGATTTGCTTTTTTATGTTGAAGGTAAATCGTAACATGTATATTTTTAATTTATCATTTTGTAAAAAAATAAATGGTGTGTTTCAATTTATTCCAAAAAAATGTACACAGTTATAGTACATATATACAATTACATCACAGAGTTTAAGAGACTGGTGGATTCGATTTGCAGAAATTTATAAGTTCTTTGGAATTCACTTTACGTAGTTATATCCAACCGTTTTAAAGCAAACGTCGAATTTTAGCCTTTTAAAAAATGGTTGTTTTGCTTTTGTTATGCTTTTGTTATGCTTTTAAAAAATTCAAATATGAAATTTGATAAAGCGTAAAAATATGCACTTCTGGAAATAACACCTGACACGTCTCTAGATACAATAAGCTTGTCAAAACTTGGCCATAACCAGCCATTTCAGGGTACCAAGTTTTTTACAAATAAATATATTATAATAGGTTTTTATAGATAATGGTACGGAACCCTTCGTGCGCGAGTCCGATTCGCACTTGGCCGGTTTTATTAAAAATTGTGAAACGTGCAGGCAAAAAAGTGGGCTTCGGCTAACCAAGCGAAGCGCAGAAGCATAATACTTTCACTTCACTTTCACTTGGTCTTCTGTGAGGTCGAGGTACTTCCCCGGACGAGCTTGCCCATTCATGCAACAGCGGATGCTGTTGCGTGGCCCTACCTCAGTATTGGGATCCAAACTTAACGAGGATAATAGAGAGATAACTATATCACTATTTATCTCTGCATCCAATATCTAATTCATCTTTTGGCCTATGGCCTTAAGGAACAAGTCATGGCGTTCTATTATACATATAGAGAAGCGAATCTATGACCTACACAGGGAGATTTTTTGAGAAGTGCCCCAATTTACACAGGAGGTTCAGCCTCGTTAGTATAATCGTTTATTGAAATAAAAAACAAAGTTTATTTTTCAAAAAAAATGCCATTCTATTCCCGAAAAAACAGAACGTGTTGACAATGCGGTAGTCATTCATAAATACCTAAACGTTACTGTGCACGAACTTGTGTGCGTGTTAGTTATGAATGATCGCGCGTAAAATAAATGAGTTGCGTATAAATCATGCACTTTTTGAGATAAGTTCAAATGAATGTAGTCTTACGAGTGATTTTAAATATTTATCATTTTTTATATAACATTAATTATGTCTAGAATTTAATAAAAAAAATGGATACACTTAGAAAAGCCTCCCTGTATAGTCGTCAATAACGGTCTTAGACTTCGGTGCGCCATTTTGCAAATCGATGATTTATAGTCGTCTGGAAGTTAGGAGCGCTATTGATTTCGACACAGCTTTATTATAGTTTGATTCGTTGAACTGATATTAGTTTAAGTTGTTTCTCTAACGAGGTTTACGCTTATACGTTTCTAAACAAACTATTCTGAGCTTAGTATGAACGTTTTCATTGCTCGATAATTGTGTAAGTGCTGCTTAAGCCGGTAATCGAATAAACAACTTTCGACTTAAAATCTTTCTCTACTATCAAGTATAAAGTAAACATACGTAGTACCGTAAATTTTTAATGTATCAAGTATAGAATTGTAAAGAGACTAAAAAAATTGTAGAAAAATGGACGAAAAGTTTTTGGCCACCACGGGAATAATTAAGGGGTTAAGCTGATGGCCTGAAAGAGCCTTGAACATCGAAAAAAAATACAAAATCAATGTCACGGACTCAATAAATTTGATACAAGGTATCATTTTATCATTTGTAAATGAATCCCGAAAGACTAGACTCGACAAAAATATTTTCTTTTTCCTGAACGGTTTCAAATCTAATTCACGCTGATTTTTGGAACCAATAAATGTTTATTCACAGTATGACATAACGTGCTCTCAAGGGATTATATTCATATACATTACATTGTTCACGTGAGACATTGTAGCGAATTCAATACTTTTAGTTCGGCTGTAAAGTTTTATGCGACGGTGTATTATCGGAATGCAAAAACACGAGCAAGCATCGTGGCAATATCGCGATGGCCATTTGATACCGGTTTTATGGTGCCACAGTACCTGGAGGTACCATACATTCTTCTGAGACGTTTAACATGGAACAATTTGAACACAGAGACAGTGAAGTTTTGGTTCGTATAACTCAATTTCAATTCTAATAATTTAAGTTTAAGGATTTTTTTTGAGGAAGCGGCAAACGAGCTGCCCACGGACATTTTCAAAGCCCGTTGGGTTGCAGATGCGTTGCCACCTCTTAATAATGTGGGCCCCGGCTACTTCACTCACCAAATGAAACGCGCAAGTGTAACACTTCTACTTTACGCCGATCTTCTGTGAAGTCTAAGTTTTCTGTGGTACTAACCCGGACGGTCCTGCCCATTCGTGCAACACTGTTGCGTGGCCCTACCACCGTTGATTATAGAGCTTCGCTTCATTTTTTGCTCATGTCAGGAGTGATTTAGACGTTTGGCAACTACGCTCAGAAGTTTGCCAACTTAGATAAGGATCTTGAGTAAAAATAAATAATAATCATAGACATTTATATAATAATATTGTTGTTACTTTAGAGTGTAGTAAACTTACGCCGGACCAAGCTCCAGCCATCCAGGTGGGGCAGTCGTGTTCGTTGCAGGGCTGCGAGGATCTGGGCGCTGGGGAGACACAGCCAGGTTCCGTCTTCGAAGCTGATACACAAATTATATAGAATTGTAGAACTGATTGGTGTCTATATCTGTTCGTTTTGTTAACACTGAACTACGTAAATATAATCCAGAAAGGCGTACCTATCAGTATATAACTATTTTAGTAAATAGTAAGCCGTGATAATTCAGTGTCCGGGCGCTCGCCTCTAATTTAATATACACGAGCAACCTGAGTTCGATCCCCGGTGCCAGCACCAATGAAATTGTTAATTTTGAAAGTGCTGAATTATCACGTGCTCAGCGGTGAAGGAAAACATCGTGAGGAAACCTGCATATTTTCGAAATAATAATAAAAAAAAACAAATTCCAAGATATGTGAAGTCCGCCAATCCGCATTGGGGCATGGTGGACTATGCTCTGATAACCTCTGTATAGAGTTTGCCCAGCAGTGGGACATGTATAGGCCGATACTTAGCTTACATAGTAAAGGTGAGTTTGTATAATGCATCTGGCGGTTGTTTATCCAGTAACCGCACTACTGACATTGGGAAAAACCAATGGATGATACTGCCTCTTCACGATCATCTACAATGTGCGTTTAATGAAGCCGGTCAGTGACTATGTTTGAAGGCTTTATTGGCATTGTATTCATTAGCATCAAGGGTTCGCCTAGAATAAATAATTGATGTGAAAATCAGGTGAGTTGAATTGTGAAGGAATTGACTCAAAAACTCGCTAGTCCATGGCTACTATAGTTTTTTGAGTAAGCAAAAATAATGAATGGCTTCAGCCATTATGGCAGAAATTGATATTTGTTTGAGCGAATAGACATTAATGAGCTAAGCTCTTTTTAGCCTTTAGCTTTCTTCTTAAACATTGCCCTTACTTTATGATAACATTATCCTATGTTGTAAGGACGTTTTACAAAAACAAATTTCACGCGGACAAACAGATGCTAAACAATTGTCTGTGGGAATCGAACCCATGACCTACGACGCCGAAACCAATACCTTGGCAACTGTACCACGATCTAAGTTCACCTCATAGCTTACCAATTGCAAACATAGCAAACGATTTCTTGTCGATCCATAATAAAAAAACAATAAGTCGACAAGTGCGCTGAGACAAACCTTAATTTTTTTTATGTAAGAAGATGGTAACGAGCTGGCGGTTCACCTGATGTTAAGTGATAACCGCCGCCCATTTACATTTGCAACACCCGCAGGATTGTCACATTATTATTAAAGTGAGTCCCGGCTGCACCACTCAACAGACGAAACGCAGAAAAACAACACTTCTATTTCATGCCGGTCTTCTGTGAGGTCGTGGTACTTACCCGGGCGGACCTGCCCATTCGTGCAACAGAGAAGACTATTGCGTGGCCCTACCTTACACAGAGAAAACTTTATTATAATAATAGAAAGACAGGTTGAAGCTAAGTGTAATTCTCTATGTATAGTATAGTATACTTATAATAGAATAAGAATGGCGCCGTTCGCAATATAAGCGATTTCTCTTTATGCACCCGATATTGACTTTAGTGGAGAACTGAAGAGCTCATAAGAATCGAGCCGGCATTGCCCGTAAAGTCGCTCTTGAAGTAGTTTCGGGGATGAGATGGAAGTTTTATCTCGGGCTCTTACTGTTTTCATTGAATCGAGTTTCTAGTTTTACCAGGTATAAATAAGGCTTAAGTTATAAAAGTTTATACTCAGGGTCGTAATGATCTGAAGCTTTGGATTTCAAACAGAATAAGCGTTCCCTTCATTTTGTTTGGGTGTGAAACACAGATATTATATCTTCATTGACACGAGGAAGGGATAATCATAAATAAAAAAAAAATTGTTCAAATATAATATTAATTGTCATGTCCTAGCCGTGTTCGGCTACAGCGACTGTTTACTAATATAGAGAGCGTCGCTGATGCGCTCTCAGGTGACTGACGTAGCCGATTTTTGCAGCGAATGTGCGTCCACACTCACCACAAGTCAGCACCCCTCCGATATAATTATAATAAATAGCCGCAGGTGGTCTGGCCTTCGACTCGTAATATTAATAAGAAGATAGTAAATCTCATTTAGTAAATGTGATTAACTATCTTCTTAATGATTGCTTTTACACTTTATTGCTGAATATCGCCAGGTAGATGGACAAGCTAATTTTTGCTTGAGCAGACTCATGTGATGTTTTCTGCTGTTAGGAGCTCCTCTTCTCAGATTGCTATGTTGATGGTTTTGATTTTATGACCAACCCTTCTCCTTCTTGGGGGTGTCCTATCATATCGGATGTCGGCGACCACCACACGTAACTCTTCTCTATTCTGCGCCAATCTACAAGGACTTGATGCCAATCTACGATGACGGCGTGCTCGATGTCTGTCAATTGTTTCAAATTTTCACTCCATGTTTGTCTTCTTCCTCGTCCCCGTTTTCCTTCTTATTGTCGTTAAATTACATTTTTATGACTAACCCAGTGAAAGATAAATCCAAAGGCAGACTTTGATCTGGCGGTGGTGTTTCTAGTTAATAGGTGAACCAAAGAAAAAGGCAGTGGTATTTCTAGTTGTCAGGTGAACGTGTTATGGTCCTCTCGTAGAAGACTAGACGTACCTGGATCGTATGTGTCCGCCCTGGTGACGTTAGCTGACCGTGCGCAGAGCACCCGTCGAGTGCGAAGACCGCCACCACAGCTAGCGCTGCATGACGACCACTCCCCAACGTACCACCTAAATATAAAAATATACAGGGTGATTTTTTAGACGAAGTACATACTTTGACATAATGTTAATTGAACATTCCATAATTGAAAAAAAAATACCAGAAAAATATCAATTCACCCTATTCATTCAGTCACCCTATGGATAAGCGGTTTAGTAATTACGTGTTTAGTGAACAGTTTTAGTGCTCGTAAATAGGTCATTGTATTGAGACGTAGGAATATCTTATAGGGTGTACATAATGTTAGAAAAAATTAAAAGTAATCTTTGAAAAAAAAAATGAGGCCACAAGTACGTCCCAGATTCAGATTTAGAATCAAATTCTGCATATGCTCTGTTAATATGTTCGTCGTCTATAAAATCCCCGTGTATAGTATATAGCAAAGTTGTGGATGACTCCGTGGCGCAGTTGCCAAGGTATTGGCTTCGGCGACGGGGGTCGTGGGTTCGATTCCCACAGGAGAAAACTATTTGTGGAGAGCCACATATAATTGTTTCAGATCTCGGTGTTTGTCCACGTGAAGTTTATGAATGTAAAATGTCCATACAATGCAGGATAATGTTATCCTACAGTAAGGTACAATGTTTTCGAAGGGAAAACCATTATAAATCTTCTAGGTAGCTATGGTTGTTGGGACTTACTGATGAACCCTTTCAACACAAAATACAAATACAATACATAAGGGTAAGTGTAATAGTAGGGCCTCACAGCAGCTTATGCTTGATAAACTTACGTACAAACACCCAAATAAACTAAACGTATATATTATATTATATAATAACAATAATAATAAGATAATATATACCTTATCATTAGATACAATAGACATACATAAAACTAAACATATGCAATAAAATGAACATTTTTTTTATGTGAAAAGTTGCCGTGCGAGCAGGCGGTTCATCTGATGTTAAGTGAATACCGTCACTCATGGAAATCTGCTACACCCGGCGGTTGCTGGTGCGTTGACCACCTTTTTGAAAATTGGGCTCCGGCTACCTCGCTCACCAGACGAAAAGCGAAAGTATTTATTACACTTTCACTTCACGTTGGTCTTCTGTGAGGTCGTGGTACTTACCCGGACCAGCCTGCTCATTCGTGCAACAGCAGAGGCTGTTGCGTGGCCCTGTCACAGTAAATTACAAAAATATATACAGGGAGAAAAAATACAAATGTCGTCAGTGAAAAACAGTGTCGACACGATGTATGTATTTCGACTATCTGTTAAAGCTTAGGTCGTCTTACTTACTTGAATGGGCATGGGTGCGTGTTGCATCTGATCACCGACTCGGTGGGTTTGCTGGAGCCATCGCAAAGCTGCTCCGGCACGTCGGAACCGTCAGACGATCTCTGCACACCGCCAGCGACATCTTGTAGCCTGACAAATAAACATTCTTGAATTATACAGCGTGTCTTTACCATCGCGACAATAAATGAACACACATATAGAGGATAACTTTTTAAAATTGTATTAAAGTTTACATTTTTTAAACATCAATATTTACAGAGTTATTAAATTTTCCAAAACAAAGAATTTTAGGACACCTTTACGTATAAAACTTTATGTAAAGTTCATTTGTAAAGGTCACAAAGCATATGAATGGGTTGAATGAATTTAAAAGAGACAAAACATACTGTTAGAACGAGAGGCTTGTAATGCGGCGCTGTGGCAACGAATGAAAAAGTCTCCGAATGTATGAATCAGTCAGATGTAGTTGTATAGGATGTTATAAATTTTGTTTCTTTTTTACTTAATTAGTTTGTTTGAAAAATATTTTTTTAATTATGGATTTTTTTTAAACGTTAACATTTTTTTAGGATTATTGGCAAGTACCGTTAGACATGTGTTCATTTATTGTCGCGGTGGTAAAGACACGCTGTATAGTAAGGTAATTACGGAATAAATATCTATGGTTCATGTCTTCGACACAACCATTGTAGAGGGAAAGAGCTTCCGAAAGAAATGTCTATGGTACACCTTATTGTCTTCGTAATGTATAGGTGAAGATACTTGTTGTAATTTTGGATCAGAAAAGGTAAAATTTACGACAGCGAAAGGAGTTAATTAAATTGGACACGAAAAAACAAGGCACATGTACAAGAATATGCAAAATAAATTCCGTAGACAAGCTAATTCATGCCGTAACGTAGTATTCAATAGGCTGAGATTTACGATAACAAATGTAACTTTTCTTTGAAGAAAGAAATTTCACTGAAGTTCAGTAGGATGTGAATGTAGTTTAAAATTGCAATAATTATGCATTACATGTAAGAATTTATGCAAAATTGTATATTGCCTGGTTACGGAAATTATAACAGAATTTGTTCATGACACACCGATTTAGCAAACGTGTTATTTATGCATTTATTTATTATAATCCTATGTGGTCTGCGTAATCCTTAGACTGTTATCGTAATTATTAAGTTATATATAATTTATCTACATTATTAAGAACCAGAATAACCTAACCGAGTTTAAACAATGTAAATATCAAACACAAAAATGTCAATGTCTTTCCCAGCAACAAAGAAACAAAGGAAAAGGGATAATAAAAATCAACTACACAACACTAATACTCTCAGGTAAATAGACCAACTTCTCTAAGTGGAATTAAATTAACTCTCACAACTAATCCGTTAACTGTACCATTCACTACCTAGAGAGTTTTTCACAGTGCACCGTGCATTGTAAAAATTCTAATTAAGCGTTAGGGAGAACTCTCACGGCGCGTTTGAAACGGTCGCAATAGTTTTGTAAACATAACAAAGTTGGTGCTGTGTTGGTGCTTACTGCGACGTTGAGAGTACATTAAGACGTTTCAATAGTGGGAAACGAGATTCAAAGCTTTTGCAGGATCAGTAAAAAAAGTTTAAGTTGGGAATTTTTTATGGAAAAACGCTATGTGGAATCAATGGTAGATGTATTTCCGGAGCAATAAGTTTTTTTTTTAAATATTTGAGGACACAGTGTGTAAACGATCGTGATACGAACCATGGCCGTCTGTTTTGGGGCCGCTCGATTACCGACCGAGCTATTATAACACTATTTTGCGGCGAAATTTACTGTCATATTATATATATATACAAGAATTGCTCGTTTAAAGGATAAGATTATACATATATAAACACCCAAATATTAGAAAAACGTTATGTTTATATCACAATATTTTCCAAGTAGCGGGGATCGAACCCACACCCACTAGTGCAGGAGGCAGATACACTACAGACTACGCCATTCGCCTTTAAAGAACGTCAACAATAGTTCCCTAAGCAAAGGTTGACGACTTACTTGTTTCCGTAAAAACTGGTCAGATGATGAACTCATTACTTGACATGCTTTGAAACTGGGTACTAAAGCATGGGGGTGGGTTAGGTTAGGGGGAATTACCAACACGATCTATTTTTCTAAACTGATTGCGTTATGGTACGGCTAGATATCATAAAAATATTACAAAGTCAAGTATGATGATCACATTATCTTTTGCTGAAGCTGGAAGTATACCGTGAATACGCAAAGGTTACTACGAAAAATTTTTTGTAGAAATAATGTTAACATTAATACGATAGCGGCTCTGTATTCAGGCTCGCTTTATAATTGTATACACTCAAGCAATCTGAGTTTCAATTATACCACTGTACCGTATTACCATAACAGGTTTTTTTAAACCTTTTATGGTTCATTAAATGATAGTCTGCGTTTATTAGTATTCTTCTGGCGTTAGTTGTTGAAGTTACTCCATAACATATTCTTTCCAAGTTAATCTAAACAGTTTTTTTATTATACATATAACGTGACAGCTCTCCAGGCATGAGTGGCCATAGGTTTTTTTATCTATGTCCTTATTACATGTACGGCCCCGTCAGGTAGAAGGCAAATCAAGTCTTAGGCAGTTTAATATAAGAAAGGATGATTCTAATACATACAATTTGTAGTCATACCTGAAAGCTTAGACCACCGATATCATGAATAAAGAAGTAGCAAGGACATGGTTTTATTCTTTTATGCAACAGGACGTATTCTAGTAGCATGCGATTTTTTTTATGTGAGAAAGCGGCAAACGACCTGGCGGTTCACCTGATGTTAAGTGATAACCGCCACCCATGGACATTTGCAACACCCGTAGGGCTGCAAATGCATTGCCACCTAAAAAAAACGGACGGACCTGGTTCAACAGTGAACATTGAAGCGTGGTCCTACCACAGGTTTTTTGTTTTTTTCTGTCTTATACATTGCCCTTACTGTAGGATAATATTATCCCGTGTTGCAAGGACGTTTTAAATACATAAATTTCACGTGGAGAAATGCCCAGATCCTAAACAATTATATGTGGGTAACACAAATAGTTTTCCCGAGTGGGAATCTAAACCAAAAGCTCAGGCACTGATGCCAATACCTTGGAAACTACATCTTCATCCAAAATAATATAAATGTATGTAATCTTGTAAAATGTTATAATTATGGCACATATTTAATCCAATTAATAATTTATCAATAATTTATTAGTACAGTTTGTTGCAACTTATTTAAAAGCTGTTGGTTTGATACCTGTCGTGATATTTCCTACACCTTAGAATGGGGAGGTAGTTGGTATTGGTTTTTGAGGGCTATAAATTCAACTCTCACAACGTACGCGGCTTAGTTTTTGGTTATTGTTAGTTAAAGCTGTTGCTCTGTTGGAAAAGCTAAGTACTATTGTTATTCAATTATTAAGTCACTTTTGTCTTATAGTTGCGTAAGTCAGTAAAAGCTATGTTTTATAACATGTATCTAATAAAAAGTGGGATGAGAATTTAATCCTTTATTTATTCTAAATTGATTATGAGGTACAACCTTTTTAAATGAACCCAACATCAGAGTCATTTGTAAATGAACCCTAAAGAGTGAAATTCAATTATCGAATTCACGAGCAATCCATCATTGTTATAAAGTTCCAGGACTCTCCAAAAATTTATAATAGACAAATCGTCGGTCTGACGGATTCAACCCTTTAATCGACAAGGGTGCGTCAACCCTAATCCGTCGCTTGTTATTTGACATCTCATTAATGATAGAAATTCGTGAGGCTGTACGCCCCGGGCGATTTCGCAAATGCTGTCGATACTTAGGGGGTTGTTTGCGGTCGTTATATAGGTTAGTACGCAGGTCGATTTTACTTTACGTGAGAAGATGGCAGGCAAGTTGACTGTTCACTTGATGTTAAGTGATAAGAAGGGCCGCGATAGCTTTTAATTCAACGTACTCAGAGTTCAAATCCCGATACCGGTACCAGTGAAATGGGTTTTAAGTACTCATTTATCACGTGCTCAGCGGTGATGAAAAACACCTCGAGGAAACCTGTACATTATTTTTTTTTTCAATGAAAAAGTGGCAAACGAGCTGGTGGTTCACCTGATGTTAGGTGATAACCGCCATGGACATTTTCAACACCCTCAGTGTTCACGCGTGTACGCCCTTAGTGTTTCAAATGCGTTGCCACCTATAAATAAAGTAGGCCCCGGCTACGTCACTCACCAGACGAAACACAGAAGTGTAACACTTCTACTTTACGCTAGTCTTCTGCGAGGTCGTAGTACTTACCCGGACGGACCTGCCCTGAACTTCTGACGTTTTGAAACCGGTTGAAAAGAAGCTCGTCCAATGGGGCCATTGCCCAGCAGTGGGACGAATATTATGAACAAATAAGTAACATTACTACATTATAAGAATCATGTTTTAAGCATGCCTAAGCTCCTCAGTTGTGCAGATGGCGATTCAATGAGAGAGTAACAATACCCTCAGGCAATCTCACTTTCGTGTACATATTTTACGGGTCACATAAAGCTGCGGTAAGATTACGGAACCGGCCCTGAGTGGACACAATTGCCGTGTGTAACCCCTACATTTGCGAGATTATCTAAGCTTAGCTACAGTTGCGTGCAAGTACTAAAGCTACTGACGCTGTACACTTGCCTGCATTATAAGCGGCTGAACCCTACCCATATACCTAACCCCAAGTTAAAAAGAATGAAATAAAAATAAATTTATAATTAGTAAAGCGATTTTACATTGTTTGTCGTTTTTTGTTAACATGTTCCTTTTAAGTTTTAGGATTTGTGACCAGAATTCCAAGGAACGTTGTTATAAAGAGCAAAAATTAAAATAATTAACTATCTATGTATGTTGTTGCTGATTTTTAGCTCAATGTCCAGGCACTCTTTTATCATATACTTTTCGCCAGCGGCTTCGCTCGCGTTGAAGCCGTTAAATAAATATTTAAAAAAAAAATCTTTTTAAGAATCCTATGTCCTTTTTAATAGCCTAAGAATGTGTGTACAAAGTTTCAAGTTACAAGAAAACAAACTTACATTCACACTTATAATATTATATTAGGGATGTAA